AAATAAAAAATTTGCTTGCTAAAAATTTAAAAAAGCTTCGTTATTAAAAAAAATTAAAATATCGTTATTAGAAATCTTATAATTAGGCGATTAAAGTAGTATATAAACTCAATATGAATGTAATGTATATAATGCATATATAATAAAAATGCTTTTTTAAATTCAAGCTATTCTAATTTTAAATCTCTTCTCAGATATAATTAGAATATTAGTAATATAATTTTAAAGTAATAAAATATTTCTAATTGTATTCAAAAAAGATTTATAGATTAGAATAAGGTATTTCGGGTAAGTTTTACATATTATTAATGCAATTAAAATGCCTATTTTTACATGTGATTTGCTAAACTTTAATATAAAAAATATTTTGTACTATAAAATTTATAGTATAGTATATATAAATTTAATTTACTATAAATTTTATAACACAAAATATATAAGTAAATTTGATTATTATAAAAGTAATAGTTATACAATATAAATATATAATGTAAAAAAAAGGTCACCATTTTGTTTTGATCAGATTTCATTTTAATCTGTCACAGTAAACGCATGTTTGAAATGTTTGCTGCATAGCTTAAATATTTCTTTGTATAAACTTTTAACTGAAATTAATAGACTACTAGATACTCAAGATAGAGAGAACAAATATAAATTCTAAAAGCTTGCTATTTCTACCATCAAAAATTAGGATAAAATGAATTTTCTGTTTACTAATATTGATAAGTATATTCAAAAATTTCTCTCTTCAACCATTTTACAAATGCAGCATAATAAGATCAACCAATCAGTTTATTATACATCAAATATACTTAAAGATATGATGTATTTTAATGAAGTGAAGATCTAATTATTTATTTTATTAAATAAATATGTTGTAACATATTAAAATTACTTTTTAATAGAGTAAACAATTAAGCGACTTTTGAGAAGAGTTTGATATTGATAATATGCAAACTAGTTTTAATGAATTAGTTGAACTTGTTGGATTAGATAATATTTGTAAAATTTGTTAAGACTAGAAACTCTTTGGAAATAAAACATCATGTTTTGTTACTAAAAAACTGGTCTTACTTGTATTCCTATTTATCGACTATACATTGTGATATTGTATATTAGCATTACTTTTAGGTGATGCTGAGTACATCTAATGCACTATTTCATATTCAGATGTTGTCTTTACATTGATATAGTACAAAGGAAAGTGGTGCTGAAGAACTATTTATAGTCGCAGATAAATTTTCACAAGAAGCAATCAAAGAACCTAATTTGCCAGTTTCATATTTGTATTTGTCTAAACAAGGATCAGATTTTTGAGCAAAGAATTTAACAACTCTTGAGCAAAAGTTAATATATAGAAATATTCATAGTGCATATAAGAAAGCTCTTTTTAAGGCATTAGAAAATAAAGCAAGATAACAACATCTAATTGAATTGTTGCAGAATTTTGCAGGAGAGGACAAACAATTCAAATTAGATAATGTGCAAGAGTTGATAGCTTTGATGATAAAGAGAATAGTAATCCTACAATTTCTCATATACAAAATCTAACAGTATGCTGTGATAAAGGTTGTTCACTAGTCATGAAGCATCTGAAGTTAGCTCATGAAATACCAAAACCTATAACAAACTAATGTTGATGTAAGAAATGTGATGGTGTTGACTATTATCAAAAGAATTGCAAGGTATTGTTTAGTATAAATGTTGGATCAATTATATGTTATAGATTGCTAATAAAATATAATTGTATAGGCTTAAAATTTGGTATCTAAGAATATAATACATTACATAGTCTTGTTTTATTTATGAGCACCTGATTGTATATTGTTATTCTATTCGAAATAGATATTGCTGTAAGTATTATCTGATAATTTCAGACCTGGAGTTGCATTGACTAAAATTAGTTTCTAGAATTAGTGGTTGTTAGTAAACTATAAGCTATTCTAAAAATCATGCTTATTATATATATGTTGGTATTCAAAAATTTTTTCGCTATTGCAATTGTGATCTATATATCTAATTTACTATTCTAGAAAATTGCACTTATTATGTGTTTATATTAAAAAAATCTTTTTGCTATTGGTTAAGGTTAAGGTCCTACTGATAAGTTAAGGTTTGGTTTCGAGGGTTATAGTTATAGGAAAGTTTCATGCAAAAAATTTTTCTTAATATACAAAAAGTGATTCTTTTGTATTATACTGTATATAACCTTAAAACAATGAAATGTTAGCTTGTGATTTAATGACTATTGTGTTCTATAAGTATAGTATTACCATGTTAGAAAATTGTTGCTTATTATGCATTCATATCAAAAAATTTTTTTACTATTAATTAGGGTTAGGGTTCTACTAGTAGATTATAGTTAAATTAGAGGATTATTAACTAGTATGTATGTATGTATCTACTTGCAACTATAGCCGATCTGGCAAATCGTATAAAACCTAATTAATCAATAATACATAATAGGTTAGACTTGTAGTATAATTTTGACTAAAATAACTTGCTATAAGGTGTTTAAAGGCAATTATTGAAAAAAAATTAAGATAAGCACTGAAGTATTTCGAAGATGGTTTTCATACAAGTTAGATATGAAACTACATATTTCATAAGCATGATGTGGCAGAATCGCACATAAATATAATTTTTTGAGTATATAATTTATTTTTGTCGCACGCATAATTGATAGCTTATCACAGCATAAGATCACTAGTCCTTGGTTCAGATGCAAATTAGTTATGGGTGTGACTAATTATGTGTAACAAATAAATATTAAATAAATTAATTCATATAAATTAATTAGTTGACGTTTATTTGTTACAACCTATAATAGATTACACCTATAGTAACAAATATAATAGTTATATATAGAATGCATGCATATATAAAACATATAGTCACATGATATTTAAGGACTGCCAATATATCGCTATAGCAATTTTTTATAAAATCCTATATTATTAACTATAATCTAAAATTTAAAAACAACAACCTCAAATTTATACTCTATCTCAATATATTAATTTAAAACTATATAAATAAAAAATAATAACAATATTTAATTTGCTAATAATATTAATAAGTTATTCAAATATAAAAAAACTTCACAGTTTTTTAACTTACTTTTATTAAAATATATAAATATTTACAATATATATAATGAGTTAAAGTATACAACTTTTTATATAAAATATATAATATTCTTACTCAATTAAAATATTGAGAAAAATCTGATAATAGCTTTTTAATTTGTTATCTAATAATTCAATAAATTATTTTTAAACTTATTAAAATTTTGAAATTGATATAGACTTAAAAATAATACTTATTTAATTAATTTAATTTTGTCTTCTACAACCATAGATGCAGCTACTGCTTTATCAAATGATATATTTACTGTAGTTGATAAAGAAAATAATGTAAGTGGACAGGTGGGCAAGCCCATTTACGCGAAGGACTATTTATATAATGGTCAGACCCAACATACAGAGCAGACTATGAAATCCTGCACAGCTGTGAGAACTGAGCTTGAAACAGTGTGCGACTCTGCAGAAGTATTTTTGTCTAAATCATTACC